GGGCAGGAGCAGTCGATGACCGAAAGTCTACTAGTGGGTATTGTGCCTTTGTAGGAGGAAACCTGGTCACATGGAGAAGTAAAAAACAAAGTGTGGTGGCTAGATCTAGTGCTGAAGCAGAATATAGAGCGATGTCTCATGGGGTTCCTGAAATCATGTGGATAAGAAATCTATTAGGTGAACTGGGTTTTGCAGTGAGCAATCCTATGTCACTCTACTATGACAATAAAGCTGCCATCAATATTGCTGCTAATCCAGCCCTGCATGATAGGACGAAACACAGTGAAGTGGACAAGCATTTTATTAGAGAGAAACTTGTAAATGGAGAAGTGTGTACTCCATATGTCAGCTCAGAAGAACAACTTGYARATWTYTTCACCAAAGGTCTTCATCATGTGCGGCACAATGATTTGTGTGACAAGTTGGGCATGATTGACATCTATGCTCCAACTTGAGGGGGAGTGTTGAAATAATTTAGTTATTTGTGTTAGGGTCTGTTTGGCTAGTTAAAGCATTTTTTATTTCTGTTATTTCTGTTATTGTACTCACTTACAGCAGGGGCTCAAGGGTCTTTTCCCTTCTTATTTCTGCCGCCCTATATAATATAATAAAAGCTGGCGCCGCCAGCACTGTTCAATTGCTCCAAACTTTTTCTTCTTCCTTTCTTCCTTTTCCTTTCTCTCTTCTTTCCTTCTCTTCTCTACTTCCTCATATTTCAATCGGATTTATTGTCAAGAGTTCCCTCTCCCCTTCCCGAAAATAACTCTTCATTGTTTGCCCTCCGTGTTGCCAATGCATCAGCGAGCCCATTAGTTGATTTGTGAAGCCATCTTACATTAATGCTTCTGTTTATTTTGAGTTCCTTTATCTCCTTCATTAAGTTCCTATACTTCCAAGGAACCATATCCTCATTCTGCAACCAACACACCACCACTTTTGTAGTTCCCTTCAATTTGCAAATTAGTGTAACTTGGGTCTTTAGCTAACCTTAAACCCCCGTGCATTCTTCTTCATAAAAATAAATGCATTCCTTCATTGTGGTGGTTTCTTCACCTCTTTCATTTTTCCCCATATCTTGTACATGTTTAATGTCATTGGAATGAGAACTGACTAGATAATACTACACATCCACCCTAGAACTAATTTAAGATAATTATGGAAGGAGCACAGGCATTTGGTGGTTTAATATTGCCTTTGTGGTCCAAATTTTTGGCTATGCCATATCCAAGCTCTTACATGTTCATACAAGAAAGAATGGGCAATTCCCCTTCAACTATTGATTTGTACTTTTGTATTGATTAATCAGGTGCCAGATGCATTGTATGAAGTAAGCGTTATTCTTACATTCCCAGAGAGCATCAAAGCATCCTATATTTATCTGTCATTAGATATACACTTACCTTCTTTAATTATTGTTGCTATAGGAAAGAGATCCTATTGAGGGTCCTGTATCTCGCCTCGATACCCGCTTATGCTTGTTACTCTCTATAACAACTCTTGCAATTGCTGATATTATTGAGGAAGAGGAAACTGCACTAATTAATGAAGCTGGACAGAGTCCCAACAATCAACGGAAAGAGAAACAGGTTGCAGGAAAGCGTCGTAGGGATCTAGTCTCCAGCTTACAGATACTGGGTGATTATGAAGGGCTACTGACCCCACCACAGTCTGTTATCTCTGTAGCCAATCAGGCTGCTATGAAAGCCATGATGTTTGTTTCAGGTGCCACAGTTGGAAGTGGTTACTTTGAGTGCATTAGCAAAAGTGACATGCCAATGAGCTGTTGTAAGCAGTACTTCCTTTTCTTTTGACATTAGAGAATTGATTCAACAAGTAGGAGGGTCATCAGTGTGGGGAAAGTGTGGGCTAGCTGCTATATATATATATATGTATATATATGTGTATATATGTATATGTATATTACTTGCATGGATGGGAATGAGGTCCACTTTTCAATATGTCCGAACCAAGTGGAACATTTGCCCTGACTGAGGCACCACCATCTAAATATTTGGTGGATTTCATTGCATGAAAGATTCACTCCCATGTGTGTGCTACTTATCCCGGTACTTTATTTTGGTGGTATGTACCTGGGTTCTTCCCTGTGGCTAATATGAATTTCCCTTTCCAATACCTTGTGGCTTCTGTTACTTATTCTATTTGTTTTATTCTAATAATTATAGTTCATCTGATGCTATTCTTTTTTTTTTCTGTTAGGAATCATTGCTTATTCTTGCAGTATATCTCAATCTTATATATCTTTGACCCTGCTTGCAGTTGGAAACATGTGGCATCTGATAGTGGAGGCTTGTATTGCTAGAGATCTGCTAGACACATCAGCATATTTCTGGCCAGGCTATGTAAACAGATGCATCAATCAAGTACCTCATACTGTGCCTGGTCAAGCACCTGGTTGGTCATCATTGATGAAGGGCACTCCATTAACTCCATCAATGATAAATGTTTTGGTTTCATCTCCAGCTTCATGGTATGCCAGTACTTCTCCTTCAAGTGTTCATGTAAATGTTGATACATAATCTCTGCTTCCTGCTTCTAGATATAAATACCATGACCAAAAAGTATACTTCTCCTTGACCTATATCATACTTGGTGTCAGCATCCAACATTTTATGGAAGCCATCTTGGAGATATCAGGCCAAGAGTTGACCTTGTGCAATTATCCTATTCCTAACAATAATCCATGAAATCCTTCTGAAAAGTCTGGAATTATGACAGATGATTCAAATAGGAGGAAAAGGAACTAATGTTTCATGGATTGGAGAGTTGGAATCATCTAAGTAGATAAATTTTGGCTTTTGATATGTTCTATGTGAGACCCATTAAATTGGTGATTCTAACCTCCTGTGCACCTTGCATACTGCAGAGGAGGATATTCAAAGAAGTTTAGAGACATTTTTTTTGATAAATAAGTTCAGAGACATTGTTGTGCTTTTTGCAAATTCAATACCCAATCACCCAGACCTTTTAGTTATCTACATTTACTTTGGTGATATTAATCCTTCAGTTGTTCGTATTGTGACTAAATATCTTTGGTCACAATGGTGCAATGCGCTAAAGGAAAGAAAAACTTCAATAAGAGTGATCTTGGGATTAGCTTTCTGAGTTCTTTAACCTTGCTGTGGGACTCAATGATTTCCTGGTCTTCAGTTATACCCTATTTATTTCCTGAAGCCAGGTATATTAGATGCTGCTTTTTAGATTTCCTCTGGGGTAAAGCCACTGAATTTAAACTCATGAATTTGATGGAAGCCTAGCAGAACTCGAGAAAATATTTGGGGTTGCAGTCAATGGGTCAGATGATGAGAAGATATCTGCTGCTACCATTCTCTGTGGGGCATCTCTAATTCGAGGTTGGAATATACAGGTAATGAGGCACAAGTCCTTTCTATGGATTCAGCAAGGAACATTTGCATGAATTGATGAATATACTTTGTAGGGGTTACCTCTGTCTTTTTCCTCCTTTTGAAACCGTTCCAAGTAAATATTGGTTCTTTCTTGCAGGAACACACCATTCATTTTGTAATAAGGTTGCTGTCTCCTCCAGTTCCTGCAGATTATTCTGGGAGTGACAGTCATTTGATAGGTTATGCTCCAATGCTGAACACTCTTCTTGTTGGGATAGCGTCCTTTGACTGCATCCAAGTTATCTCATTACATGGTTTGGTAGGTTCAGCTTCTAATACCCCATTCCTTCTTGTAGGGCTCCTAAATATAATTTATGTGGTAAATGATCCTCTTATTGAGGTTTATGATACCCAGACACCTGTGCATGGATTTTATATTGTGTCTGGCACTTTATTGTGTAACTGTTTAAATTCCATTTCAGACCCCTTGTCAGGTCATGTCTTTACTGTATCTTGGTAACATGGATTGAGGGAAAATGAATTCCATGATTTATCAATCTTACGTAGTTCAAATGTTCTTTCACATGATTGAGGATATCACTTCTTTGTCCATAAGTACCCATACTTTTTGCACAGCCAAGTGTCTCCCAACCTTTGATTCAATGCACTGCACCTCTTGGATGTCCAAAAGGAATAACAATCAGAATATAAATGTTGGTTGGTGCATGTGTGCAATTTGATATGACTTATTGCTGTGCCCCAACCAAGATGTGGTCAATTGAAACCAAGTTCATCAGCCATATGTACAGAAAACCAATCTAGCAGTATTACTGAAAAAAAATGAAAATTACTGTGATGTCCATGGGTGATTGGGTGGTTATTCCATATTCGGTTGATGCCACTAATTTTCTTCAATTTTCTGCATTTACTATCAGGTTCCACAACTTGCGGGTGCATTGATGCCTATTTGTGAGGTTTTTGGTTCGTGTGTGCCCCACCTCTCATGGAGTCTCACAACAGGGGAGGAAATTTCTTCACATGCAGTTTTCTCAAATGCATTTACCCTTTTATTGAGGTTGTGGAGGTTCAACCATCCACCACTTGAACAGACAGTAGGAGACATGCCTCCGGTTGGGTCTCAGCTAACTCCTGAATACCTCTTGTTGGTTCGGAACTCCCAATTGGTATATTCTGGAAATACATCCAAGGATCGAAATAAAAGCAGGAGATTCTCAGCAGCCACAAGCCCATCATCTGTACAGCCAATCTTTGTTGACTCTTTCCCAAAATTAAAACTCTGGTACCGGCAGAATCAAGCTTGCATAGCTTCCACCCTCTCTGGTGTCGTTCATGAAACACCAGTCCATCAGATCGTTGATGGACTCCTAAACATGATGTTCAGAAAGATGAATAAAGGAAACCAGTCTTTAACTCCCGGAACCTCTGGCAGTAGTAGTTCTTCTGGTCCTGGAAATGATGAAGCACCTGCAAGACCTAAATTACCTGCATGGGATATCCTGGAAGCCATTCCCTTTGTGCTTGATGCTGCTCTTACAACCTGTTCACATGGAAGATTGTCTCCACGTGACCTGGCTATAGGTTTGTTCTGGTTGACTTAAGCAAGGTTACATATTTTGTCATAGGCAGTTCAATAGTTACGTGTAGGAAAGAAAGCAACTGGACTTGGTTTAGTGCAGGTGTTCCATTCTGAAATACTAGAGAATCTCTGAAGACACCTAAACAATAGTTAGACTTTTGCAGATGATTATAACTATTTGACTTTTTCCTTGTTTTTTCTTTTTTTTTTTTTTTTGGGTGATAGAGCAATCCATGGCAATAGCTTATATTTTATTCTTCCTTACTCCTGGCAATAACTAATTGTGTGTGTATTAAGTTGTAGTTTTGTGGGGTACCACTCTTTGATTTGAAATTTTAGTATGACTTAACATTTCTGATCTTGCATCTCAGGTCTAAGAGATCTATCTGATTTTCTTCCTGCCTCATTGGCAACTATTGTCAGCTACTTTTCTGCTGAAGTGACCCGTGGTATTTGGAAGCCTGCTTTTATGAATGGAACTGATTGGCCAAGCCCTGCTGCAAATCTGTCCAATATTGAAGAGCAGATCAAAAGGATTCTAGCTGCCACCGGAGTTGATGTTCCAAGCCTTGCTGCAGGTGCATAGTGTGCTTGAAAATGTGTTTGTTTGTTCTTGTTGGGTCTAAATAGAAGTCAACTTCCTGTTTCTGCAGAGGAAATAGAATGTATACCAGGAGCCTCAAGACATGTGAAATGGGTAGGGATGGGATCCATAAGGAACATATCCAAGCCAGACCCTTCTATGCTAAAGTAATATTTTGTAAGCCGTAGAACTTACATAAAACAAGAAAATTAATGGAAATTTGTTAGGATATTAAATTAACTCCACAGCTATGTCTCTGTACCCTAAAATTAGTAAAGGCAAGTATGGCACTTGGACCAATCTCATACCCAGGTTACATTTCTTTGGAGTAACCAGACAATATTTCCTCCCAGGCTTCCAGCTATGATATATTGGACAGCACTTGTGGGTTTGCAGGTGTTGGAAAGATATATCAGCAATAAGGTCAGACACACACAGATGTGTCTATCTTTAAACCCTTCTAGAATGTGCCTAGGGACACATATTCATACATTAAAAATTGTGTGACCTCCTCTATCTCTTATTTGATAACTGAGAAAATGCATGAAGTGGTCATTGCTCAATATAATGGTAAAATCTCAGTCTACCCCTCCCAAGACCAGACAGCTGGGACTGACATTGGCTAATGGCCTTTAGAACATGCATGAAGCATGTATATTATATATTTCTAATGTGGGCTCCATATTTGACAACTATCTTCCTGTTGTGAAGTGTGAACAACTACAAGGACCCACAACCTATATGCATTGGTGGTTGGATGGTAGTGGATTTATGGGCTGGTTGATTCTCTCAGTGCATGTTTCCATTTGGTCATGTCTATGTTGAAGCACAATAGTTAGTCTCCATGTCCATGTCTGTAGACTGTAGCTTCTTTTAATTGGATAACAAAGAGAATGATAAAAGACAAGGGATATCAAAGAGATTCTATTGACATGAACAGAGAGAGTGATGTGCAATATAAATATGAAATTAAACCCTCAAATTGAGCCTACATATTGATAGATCATTTTTGTTTGAAAGGTAAATTTGAGAAATTAATCATTTTACGAGTTTTCCACCATAGGATTTTGGGGGGGGGGGATGGGAAAAGGGCTCAGGCTATTTCTGAGCAAAACTGCCCCAACTAGAAGAGTCCAATCTGTGGATGGTTGAAAAAAATGTTACTGAAAGTTCATGAGGCAACATTAGCTGAAGATCTTCATCAGGGTAAGTGCTTGTATCCCGTCCCCCTGCAAATAGTATTAAAAATAAAAAACAAGAAGATTGTCCTATTATATATATATATGCTGCAGAAGTTATGCAGAGAAACTGATGTGTACAAAAAAATATCCCCTCTTTCTGAACATTGAGCATCTATTTATCATGGCTTAGTGAACTGGTTCTTTATCCTTATTCTGTTGGTTTTCTTATTGGCAGGAGGAAGCTCTGTGGCCACACTTCCGCTGCCCTTAGCTGCCTTTTTGAGCTTCACCATAACATTCAAACTTGATAGAGCATCAGAACGCTTCCTTAATCTGGTTGGTCCAGCCTTGGAATCCCTTGCAGTAAGTTGTCCATGGCCATGCATGCCTATTGTAGCCTCTCTATGGGCCCAGAAGGTGAAGAAATGGAGTGATTTCCTTGTTTTCTCTGCGTCTCGTACCGTCTTCCACCATAACAGTGATGCTGTAGTTCAGCTCTTAAAAACCTGCTTTACAGCAACACTTGGCCTTAACTCCTCGCCCCTCTCTAGCAATGGTGGGGTTGGAGCTCTTCTTGGTCATGGCTTTGGATCCCATTTCTATGGAGGGTTCTCCCCTGTTGCCCCTGGTATTCTTTACTTGCGAGTACACCGATCTATCAGAGACATCATGTTCATGACAGAAGAGATTCTCTCGCTTCTGATGTTCTATGTGAGAGAAATAGCAAGTGATGGGAAGTTGAGAGAAAGAACGGAGAAGCTGAACAAGAGCAAATATGGGATGAGATATGGACAAATTTCACTTGCTGCAGCAATGACACGGGTGAAGGTTGCAGCTTTACTTGGGGCTTCATTAGTTTGGTTATCTGGTGGCTTGGGTCTGGTTCAATCCTTGATCAAAGAAACTCTTCCTTCTTGGTTTCTGTCTGCACATGGGTCGGAGCAGGAAGGAGAAGGGAGTGAAGGGATTGTGGCAATGCTAAGAGGGTATGCACTTGCTTACTTTGCTGTGATTTGTGGCGCATTTGCTTGGGGTGTAGACTCGACAACATCTTCTTCAAAACGTCGGCCAAAAATCCTTCAGGCTCACATGGAATTCCTGGCAAGTGCACTTGATGGTAAGTTTTCACTTGGTTGTGATTGGGCCACTTGGCAGGCATACGTCTCAGCATTTGTGAACCTAATGGTTGAGTGCACACCGGTATGGGTGTTGGAGGTGGAGGTGGATGTATTGAAGAGATTAAGCAAGGGATTAAGGCAGTGGAACGAGGAGGAACTTGCTCTTGCTCTGCTTGGAAGTGGAGGGGTTGAGGCAATGGGAGCGGCTGCTGAACTAGTAGTGGAGAGTGAGATATGAATCTTCTTGTCACAACTGATATGACTGATAGCCACGATTTTTCCTTGCAGCCTTTCATTGTACACTAATACTGCTCATTAGAGGTGATGGAATTGTTTGTCTAATACTCGACAGGTTGGTTTGGCGTAATTGTTGAAGGAAACTGTATAGTAGCAGTAATTCGGTGCCTTGCTGGGGCAGAGGTCGGTAGAAGTAAAAGCATTGGCATCGTGGTCGTGGGCTCCTAGATCGACTAATAATCTGTCATGCTTGACTCAGCAGCAAGGACCAAGGAGGATCAAGTTAGTGTGGGGGAAGATACCAGGCCCCAGGAAAAGACTTGTAATTCTGTTGTTGCTTTATGAAGTAAATTCTGAATGAATTCATGTTAATACCAAAGCATAAAACTGGTTTAGTTTATAATTTTATGTTCTCTCTGTAGAATCATCATATATGTAAAATAAAGGAACAAATCCAAAAAGAAAAAAGAAGAAAAGGATTTGACACTTCATGATTGCAAAACATAGCTAAACGGTTGATTGTTTTTGCTTCTACTTGTAACATACAAGTGCTTTTGGGCTTTTGCATAAATGATGGATGGCTCTGACGGGAAAGCAGAGAGCCTCTTGGACTGAAATTTGCCATATGTTCGCTCGATGCATTGCTCAAAATGGCAACCATTTCTAGGTGAAAATGAAATAAAGCATTTTGATTTGAGCTTTGAAATGGCTGAAAACAGTAATCCACGATTTGAGCTTTGAAGTGGCAGAAGATGCCTTTTTCTTGGAAGAACGGTGCCCCATATGAAATCCATTTTTTAAGACCACACCTGGTTATGCGTTTTTCCATACCACGCCATGAAAATTGGAAAAGATGTAGTCTAAGAAACATCAAAATGTTTTTTCTTCTATGAAAATGACATAACAAAACAGCACTGTTTTATTAAAAAAGGGCATTGGTTCCATGATTCCATCCAAAAATGGCCTAAAATGGCATCGCCAAAATCAAATACTGACTTCTGTTTTTAATTTTTAGATGGTGACTGGTGAGTGAGGTTGGAGCTATGGGCACACGGATGAAGGATGGTCTCACTTTGAGACTTGGGTAAGCCCTGAATTGAACAGGTACTTACATTGGGATGAATCCATCCCAACTCCCAACTGCAATCCAATTCGTTATTCTGATGAAATCATCTCATCACAAAATAATTAATAATAAGGACCCAATGATCCCAGTGGGTTAACAGGATGAAGTATACTAGTTTTTCTTTCATTCATTCAGATTCTTATGAACAACAGATGACAAAGAAAACCAAACACAATTACAGACAGAAGAAAAAAAAACTTACAACAGTACAGTATATCTTAGAACAGTACTATAGAGATACATTATATAAAATGAAAAGTTGTACGAGCGAAACTGACTAACGGTCGTGAAGAGCCACGACGACGACGAGCCACCCAAGAGTCTCTCTCTCTCTCTCTCTCTCTCTCTCTCTCTCTCTCTCTCAGAGTTCTTCGTCTCGAGTTCTACCCAGACCAGCAATGTTATCCTTCACTTCTTTCGATTTCTGCTTGGCTGTGTCGTAGTTGGATGCAATGGTCTCCTTGGCACTCTCCAGAGTTTCTCCAGCCTTGTTTCTCGCTGCTTCGTAACCCTCCCTCGCCTTTTCCGTGGCTCCACGTTGCTGCTCTGCATCCACTGCTTTGTTTCTCACTTCCTCCATGCTTATGTTTCCCATGTTCACTGCTCTCTCCGCGCCGTGACGTGGTCTTCCCAACGCCGAATCCTTCATTTCTCCGGCCTTGTCTGCAACGTACTGTGCCGTCCCCTTCACCGCTTCCTTCAAATCTCCGGCCTTGTCCGCACCGTACTGTGTCGTTCCCTTGGTAGCTTCTCCGGCTTTGCTTGCACCGTATTTTGCGGTTTCCTTCAAATCTCCGGCTTTGTCTGCACCGTATTGTGCTGTTTGTTTCACAGTTTCCTTCAAATCTCCGGCCTTGTCTGCTCCGTAGTTTGCCGTTCCCTTGGTAGCTTCTCCGGTCTTGCCTGCGCCGTATTTTGCCGTTTCCTTCAAATCTCCGGCCTTGTCTGCACCATATTCTGCCGTTCGCTTGGCAGCTTCTCCGGTCTTGCCTGCACCATATTCTGCCGTTCGCTTGGCAGCTTCTCCGGTCTTGCCTGCACCATACTTCGCGGTTTCCTTCAAATCTCCGGCTTTGTCCGCACCATATTCTGCTGTTCGCTTGGCAGCTTCTCCGGTCTTGCCTGCACCGTATTTTGCCGTTTCCTTCAAATCGCCGGCCTTGTCCGCACCATATTCTGCCGTTCCCTCGGCAGCTTCTCCCGCCTTGCCTGCACCATACTTTGCCGTTTCCTTCAAATCTCCGGCCTTGTCCGCACTATAGTATGCCGTTCCCTTGGCAGCTTCTCCGGTCATGCCTGCACCGCACTTTGCCGCTTCCTTCAAATCACCGGCCTTGTCCGCAGCATAATTTGCTGTTCCCTTGGCAGCTTCTCCGGCCTTGCCTGCACCGCACTTCGTCGTTTCCTTCAAATCTCCGGCCTTGTCCGCAGTATACTCTGTCGTTCCCTTAGCAGCTGCTCCGGTCTTGCTAGCACTGTACTTCGCCGTTTCCTTCAAATCTCCGGCCTTATCTGCACCGTACTGTCCAGCGCTGCAAGCAGTATCCTGAACTGTCCTGGCAGTGTCTCCGGTTGCATCGTATGCCTGCTTAGCGGTCTCCTTGCCGTCGTCATGCTTGAGACCGAGGCCCTCGGAGATCTTGTCCTTAGCCCAGTTGGTCCATGAATCCGTCGTTTCTTTAGCCTCCCTCCCTGACTTCGCGTGTTCGTTCTCGTGGTGGTGACCCTCTTCACTTACACTACTGCTTCTGCAGGAGGCAATCAGCACAAGGACCAACACCAAAACAACTGACACGTTACAGTGGATAGGCCGAGCCATCTCCAGAGGTAATCAAGTTGATCCTTCTCCGACGTGAGAATTCAGAAAACTGAAAAATTAATGCAGAGATTCTGTGAATGAATTATCCAAATAAGCAGTGTGGAATCGATTGAGATGAAGGAAAACGTTGAGTTTTGGCTTTACTTTTTATAGTAAAGATGGTTGAAGATGCAGAGGACAGGTGTATTGCTACCTGGCGCACAAAGAGCAGCAGTTTCTGAGACGAGGGCGACAAGTGTCTCCCCCGAGCAGTCCAGGAGTCGCCCTTTCATTGCGCCTGCGACCACAAGTCCGAGCGTGTCTCATTACATGGCGCACTTCTCTCAAGCTTTTACGTTGCAGATTGGACAAACCGAATGACAGAAGACAGAGGTAGTTAATAAAACTAAGAATTCAGTTACCTTCCCTCCATTTTTCTTCAAAACCCATAAAACCAAATCAACTTCATGTCCATGTCCTGATGTCCATGGATATTGGGTGGATGCTCGCCTTCGCCCTCCTTCCTCCGTCTTGACTGCCATTTCCTTCTTCGTTCTCCATCCACCCGCAACTTCGGTTACGGCTCTTCTGTTCAATCACATTGACTCGTTTGTGGGGATTGACCAATTTAGCTTTTGAGGTCTGTCCTTGTATTCGATCGGATGGCCGAGTCCGGCCTTGGTTCCAATAATTTCACCTTCAAATTTTCTATTTTCAAGCTTGTGCCGACTCCACTGCATTTCCAAACAGATGCATGCATCTGCATGCATAATCAAGTGGGTCCAACCATCCAAGGTGTTGTTCAATCGAGGGGTGGATGGTGTTGTTCAATGAGCAGGAGGACAATCCCTGTATTTGGTTTCTGATGTGCATAACCACGTCACGAAACAAAACTAGGTGCAGCCTTTCGGTTTATCTTTATAAAACCTGGAAAGATTTTGATTTTGAAGAATATATGATACATGGCAATTACCTTTCTAAAATGAAGCTTGCCCCAACAGTCCTTAAAAAGAAACATTGCAGTAGGGAAAAAAAGCAGCAAATTCATCATGTTGGAGAGAGAGAGAGAGAGAGAGAGTGTCTGGTCTACCAGGAGAGAAAGAAGGAAAGTAGTTCCACAAGAAAAGGGATCTAATATGAAAGTTATTTATGAAATGGGTCCAAGTGAAGCTTCAAGGGGCTGACAAGAACATTATTGGTTAACTAAAATGAGCCTTAAGAGGGCTACAAGGCTTAAATAGAAATCCATCCTCACTAAATGATTAAATGGTTACAACAATTGTTGAATAGGAGTTCAAGTCAGAACATCTTAGTCGAAGAATTTGCGCTGCATCAGGCCTGGCCCTTCAAATGCCCAACCCAAGCCCACCCAAATTGCACAAGATAAGAGTGAACTAATGAAGAAGACAAGGTTCCATTTCTGTTTTGAAAATCTGTTACAGTTTCACAATTCTGTTTTGAAAATCTGTTACAGTTTCAACTCTAACACCTTTTTTATTTTTTGAAGGGCTACACAACGGGGGTACCCAGCCCCCGCGCCCCCCCAAAACGGTGCAGGCGGGATTGGATCCCAAGTGTCTGGTCGCATAGTAGATTTTAGAGGAAGCTTGTTGGGGTATATGGAAATTATGTACTATCCACAGTATAGCCTCATTTTTGTTCTTTGAGAAATCAATCTTTCGTTCTACCCTGATATTTATATATTTGTGGTATTGATCTCTAATTATACTCCATTTAGATCATCAGCTTCTTTACATGTTTGGTAGGTTTTCCAGTGCTCTTCTGTTTTCTAGTTTGGTCTTTGATGATAGAAGGGTATAACCACAACTTAGTTTACAATCAAGATTCTTTTGTTGTCTACTTGCTGGTTGCTGCTTAGAAAGGACAATAATGGTGCTTACTTGCTTGGACAAGGTGTTCTGAACTTGTCTTACCCCTGAATTGGCAAGCTTCTTTCTCGTTCTGCCTTCTATGTCTCTGTCAGTGTTTAGTCGTCTTCTCTGTCCTCTAACCATCCAAAAGGATGCAGTATAACAGATGGTTAACACCACCAGGTCAAGACAAATAGACAATAAAAGATGGACCCCTCATTCCCTTGATGTGTTCTATATATTTTTAGCAATTAGCAGGCAGGGGATGCTGACTTCCTACAATGGGCGTGGCGCTAAACAGAGCAGCATGGTGGAACAGGATTCATGTAGTTGACACCATATAGTTGGGACAAGGCTTTGTTAGGTTCGCAGTTGGAACAGGATCTGTTTGGTTCACAGTTGGAATTGAAATTGAAATCTCGGTGTGTGTGTGGGGGGGGGAGGAATGGCCATTCCCTCAAATGGAGGAATTCCATTCCACCAGGAATGCGAATGGGATTCCAATTCCACCCAACCAAACAGTTGTAATTGGAATGGTTCATTCTCATTCCAATTCCAGACCCCTATTCCCATGAACCAAACAGGCCTGAGTTGAGTTGAGTGGGGGGATGATAATTTTTCCTTCAGATCCTCTATCCTAATGAAAGTAAGAGGTTATCCGTGGCATTTTTATTTTGTTCTTTTAGGCAATTCCCTGGGGAGCAATTAGAAAGAAAGAAATATTTGCCATTCTTGCTGTTTATGTAACTTGTTCATACACTATTATGCTGACATATTTTACTCTGAATTTTCTCTTCTTTAAGTAAAAAAAAGAAAAAAAATTGTAAAAAAATTATACAAGATTATCTTGCTACATGCTTCCCCACCCACCTAAGCAAAGTGAAACATCTTTTGCAGACCCGATCAAGCAAATGTACCAAGCTTAGTAATCTATCAAAGTCCTTTAATTAAGAAAGCAACTCCTCAAAACTTATTTTGTTCTTTCAAATTCCATCCATGACATGGAAAAATGCCCTGTTGACTACTACACTCTTTAAAACCTTCCAATGATCCTATACTCAAAGAACCTTATGGTTTTGAGCTCTTTGGAGCTACAAGTCCTCCAGTGCCATTTCCACCCACATTACTACCCAAGCTTCCATCCAAAATCTTCAGTGGTATCTATTTAGGCTTAAGTATGAATTCATGAATTAGGAAATTTATTTAGTTCTCTGCTTTCTGTTAGATGTGAATTATGCATAACCATATAAACATAATACATTTGTCATAACCACATGTTCAATATAACAAACCAAAATCCCATCCACAGATGCAAGCAGATAAGGCATTTATTACACTTTTACGATATACCTAAAATGAACAATACTGTATTTCATCATGCAAAATGATCACTCGATGAGTTGCCAGCACTTGTGTAACAAGACTATCTTGCTGAGAAGCCTTCAGATTTAGATTGTCCGTACTAGCTTTTCTTTTGTCTTCTAAGGCTTCGAGCTTTGTTTCCTTATATCTCTGAAGATCTTTTCTGGTCTAGAAAGAACTCCATGGATGATGAAGACAACATCCGAAGCTGCAGCTTCCATGATGAATCAAGACCTGGGACTTACTGTTTGGAATCTTGAAGAGGTAGAGGTATAAGTAGGTGGGAGACTTTTAACTAAAGGGATTAAGGACTGCACAACATCAGTCATGAGGGGTCGGTAATCGGCTTCTGGTTGCACACAAACAGCAGCAATAGCAGCTACCTACAATACCAATTTGTTAGGAACAAACCATGGTTAGTTGCAATTTTGGCACAAGAAATGATGTGAAAGTGGAAAACTAACCTGAATCAGCTCCTTCTTCGAATACTGGCCTTTTAGAGTTGGATCAACCATTTGCACAACTTTCTCTCTGTTGGTCAACCTTGGAAGAGCCTGATGTGGAAAGAATATATATGAGCACCACTTCAAGGATTGGCTTATAAACCCAGAAGAAGGAAGGCAATTGAAGAAGCTACAATAATAACAGTTTCTGAAGGCCAAAGCAAGACTATTGATGGAAACTAGAGGATATACTAGAATTTTAAATTAAAATTTTGTACTAAGGTGGAAGCAGTAGATATTTTGAAAGATAATTGAACTGGACCACTCATACTGCTAAATAAATACTAAACGTGATGATGTGAGTTTCAAGCAAGGGAAACAAGAATATTTGGAAATTACACTGTAATGGATAATGGATGAGAGATCATAGGAAGGAGATATAAGAGCCCGTTTGATTTGCAGGAATAGGGCTTTTGGAATGGGCCATTCTCCAACTATTTGGTTGGGTGGAATCGGAATCTCATTCCCATTCTTGGTGGAATAGCATTCCCCCATTTGAGGGAATGGCCATTCCCTCCCCCTCCCTTGGGAATGAAATTCCATTCCAGCTGATTCCGGTTGCTGTACAAACCAAACAGGTTATGGGAATAGACCATTCCAATTCAAGGATTTTGATTCTGATTCCAATTCCGATTCTAACTGCAAAAGTATTGTGAACCGTTCAATGGGATGACATGATTGTTATAGCTTTTGTAATTCAAGTACCTTTATATTAATAAAACACATGGGGAACTTCGATATATTGAAAAAAAAAAAAGGATTAGAGTTGTTTAACAACTAACCCATGTGACAAGGAATTGTTCTCCAGGAGGGCGATTTGTATCGACAGGTATACGGCCTGTTAGAAGCTCTAGAAGAACCATCCCGTAATTAAAGACATCTGATTTTGCAGTTAGCTTACCAGTTGAAGCATACCTGCATTAACAAGACAAAAGAACTGACAATTAGATGACCAAGTTCTAGTTGAGTAATTCTTAATAGACTTCATTTAGCACTGAGAGAGTTGGACGTCCAAGAAGCTGAGTAATAAAGGAGAAAAGGGTGGAAAAATTAAAACATTAACAAGTTAACAGCAGTTTGATCCTAGTTATGCTTCCTTCTTTGCTTCTTCCTTCCCTAATTTTACAGGCAAAATTACCACCATTCCCCCGGAGTTGGAAAATGACTATCTGCCATGCTATTCTCATCATGAAACCTTGCAATCAAATCTCAAGTCATTTTCTTTGACGCCCATTTTTTGTCATATTGAAGTAGCTTTGAGTTGGGCAGCTGAAGATGGTCCCCTGCTTGCCTAAGACTTCTGGGTAGAGATCAACTCCAAAAAAAGGTAATCGATGTCCAGTGTCAAATGTACTAATTATGTAAAGGACCCAGACAATATAGAACTAATGGCTGCTAGCTAGCTAGTTGGAGGTAGGCAACTAATTAATGAACTCAGCAAGGACTAGAGTGTCGGGTGGGATACCTACAAAATGAAAACTGCTGCTAATGGACTCAGGCTGCTCAGCTCAGCATTTGAAAGGTCCTTCTAAGTTGTCTAGCTAGGCCACATTTGAAAATTGAAAGGTCCAATTTAGTCATGGTTGATTGCATTTGCGTAGTAGTAGAAGACTCACTCAGGCGGGAAGAAGAAGCCTGTTGTCCCTAGCTCGCCTGTCGTAATCTGACCATTGGTCCTGTCGGAACCTATCCTGGCCGACCCAAAATCTGAAACCTTGGCCCTGAAGTTATGGTCGAGTAGAATGTTGCTGGACCTGAAATTCCGGTGGATGACAGTTGGGATTGCACGCTCATGGAGGAACTCGAGAGCTCTGGCGCATTCAAGCGCAATCCTTAGCCTGGTAGCCCAGTCCAACGGCTGATCTTGCTTGTTTATGCGGTGGATGTGGTGATGGAGACCGCCGTTGGGCATGTATTCGAATATGAGAAGCCGATGCTGTTGGTCAGCACAGTAGCCTAGTAGCTGCACCAAGTAGGGCGAATGCAGCCGGCTCAATAAGTCCACCTGCACATTAATCCATTCAAAACCCATTATTTTATTCCCCATTTACAAGTTATAGAAGCTCTTATAGACAGGTAATATCTGAGAGAATATTAGAGAGAGAGAGAGAGAGAGAGAGAGAGCAGAGAGCAGAGATAATACATTTGAATTTTGAAGTTTGGTCATTTACCAGAAAAAGAAGTCTGGTTTACGTACCTAGATGTATAACAAAGACAAGGAGAGATTTATTTTCTAAGCTGTACTTTCCAGTATTATTAATTGATTTTCTACTTTCTTTAGATTAGAATATAAGCATAGGCTCATGTTCAGTGTGAAAGAGAACAAAAGCACAAAAGTAAGAAATGAACTCAGTCACACACACCTCAATCCTGAACTCACGCTCCCCTTGTCTTCCTTCTCTGTGCACCAATTTGATTGCTGCTACAGTCCCATCACTCAATGTCCCTCTGTAAACCACCCCACGCCCTCCTTTGCCAATCACATTTGCCTCGCTAAATCCACCTGTGGCCAATTCAAGCTCTCTGTAGGTGAAGACTTGAACTCCTTTAAATTTAGTTAAAGGCAGACGGCTTGAATTCCCTCCATAAAAGCAACGACTCTTCATATCTGCTTTAACATCAAATACACCCAAATGAAACAAGAATCCATAATGCCGAGAGAATATAAATTTGGAACCCATTTTTCCTTTGCTTAGAGAGTGCAGAGGGGTGCAATTGAGAAACCCAGAAGCATGTAAAGCTTGAACTGGGTAGTATTAGTTACCTGGGCTGGAATTGAAAGTAGTCCTGGAATTATGAACATTGAACCTGCAAAGTCCATCGCTGTTGTTGATGATTTTGCCGGTGACATTGGTTTTCCTGGATTTGAGTCTGCGGAGAAGTATTATAAGCAGACATAGTGCGAAAACCAGAAGGATTGAGATGATGGGTACGATGATCATGAGAATGGAGTCCCGAGAGGGAACTCCATGGTTGTCTTCTTGGGCTTGAGTGTCCGAGATATGATGATGGTGGGCATAGCGACGTGCAGTAAGACTGGGTGGTCCTGAGGGAGCGTCTTCGGGGAGAAAATCCATGAGCTCTCAAGTATGAAGAGGAGAAGAAACAATGGAAATTGTAGAGAGAAGCAACTGAAGGAGGAGAAAGAAAGATTATGTCTGCATCAACTTAAAGAGGCTGAGTGTGAACATATGTCCTCGTTGTGGAGGTAATGTTTTCTTCCCGCGAGATCAATTTGCCTTCATCGCCACATGAATCCATACTTGTTTCACATGCTCTCTCTCTCTCTCTCTAGACCTTCTGTACTTAACTCTTCTCCAGAATATCTTTTGTAATTTGTATTATTTATGGGTGTTGTCTTTGTCTTCTTATCAGAATTCAGAAGAGCTTATTGGAAGCTTTTGCACCCATCTCATATTTTGAATTTGAAAGAAAACCAGCAATTAACTGGTAATCAATGTGGGTAAAAAACATCTGTTTTCCTCCCTTTCAATGAAATCAAACATTTCAGTTGGTAATGGAGTCGATGATCAGTAGGAACACAGAAATGGACCATTTGACTCAATCCAGCTTTCCCACTTTTGCAGTGGTTCTGACTTCTGAGGGCCATCAGCCGGTCAGCCCATCAGATCAGTTAGGTAGGTTGAGCCGGTCCCCAGCATTCTAAAATCTAACTTCTAAGCAAGCTAAAACGACGTACAGTAGCAGGAGACTAGAAGACGTGGCACGTTGATCCCAATGCTCGATTCGACAGTCGACACTTACCACTGAAGTAGAACGAATTTGTCATTTACCAGAATGAGAGTTTAGACAAAGATCTGCTGATGATGTTGGGTCAAATTCGTGGCCATGTGACACATCAGAACCGCTCATTTCGAAGCTTGTTCTCTGAATAGACCTCCTTTAAATTTTGGGCCCAATTGGATGTCAGTACACGCTCCAACCCAAAATTTGGTAAATGTGTCCATGCAATATTTAAGCCAACAGGAACTGTTGGGCCAACCGTTCCGATTCAACCACGTCGGATGACTCGGATCACAGGTAAGTGTATCTAACTCTTAAGGTCCTGTTCGTTTTTATCTGGGTAAGTGAATTTATCCAACAAGTGTTTCTCAGATAAAATTAGAGTGCTATTGACGTGCGGGTGAATTATTTATATACCCTCTGGGAAATACTCTCTAACATTTTTACTTGCTGTGAAACGTTTCACAATATATTAACAGCAAATGAACAGAGAATCGTAACTTACCCCCACTAAATACTGGCAATTAAACGGGGCCTAAATTTTATCTTATTTTTTGCTTCAAAACGAGACAAAACTGGTGAAAGTTAAGCTGCAAAGTTGGGAATTGGAATACCCAATAACCGTACTAAGTGTTCATCTCATCTATAATTCCTGGAATATAATTAATATTTCTTTTGTTTTTAATTCTGTACCTCTGTTCATTGTAAATGCCAAAGCAGTTCATTTATTATGTGTTTTCAGTTGCATTTATTTGTTTGTGTTCCTTCTACTCTTCCTCTATAACTGTTTGTTGGGACTGGATCCGGTCAGACCGGTCTTGGGGAAGGGGACCTAGGCCTGCTGAAGATTGTGTACTTCATTTTCAGCCAATCGGTTCCATTTTACCCCAAACCCAGTTTTTGATAAAAAAATCAACAGCCTGTTAACCCGGGTAGTTGAACTGTCAATCTGTTCAATAGTTTTGACCATTTTTTATTTTTAATTTTTTTAATTTATTTGTCAGAATGGGTCATTTGTTTGAACCGAATGATCGGACCATCAATCCAGAAACCGGTGACCAGAATGGTTCCATTTACGAGTCGTTTTTTAAAATGTTACTCAAATAACTTATTTATTTGAATAATAATACCCTGAAATTTGGATAAACAACTTCCTTATCCATGCAAAAAATTGATAATGCAATAAAACAATATTATCCCTTTAATAATGAATATGGTCACTATATAACTTTAGGGAAATAAGAGAACACTAATAAATGCATTTATTAGGACAAGTATTTCTCAGGAAACATTTGTCTAAAGAAATACTCAGGTAAATGACTTGCTGAAAAACAAACGAAGCCTAAAAACCTGGAAACTTCGGATTCCATGGAAAATACCTCTCCTCAGTTCCTTTTAGGTCGCAATCGAGCATAATGCAACAATAAGTCAATAACTTTTTTACTAAAACAAACAATTAGAAAGGATTCGCTTGCAATAAATTGAAAATGACAACGGATTGACAATCCAAATAGACATTTCACTGTTCTTGTAAGTCTCTCTTTCACACACACAAACGAGTCAACCTATCTCCACTGCTAAGAAAGAGATGTTCCATCTGCTCTAACAGCTCAAGTGGCCGCGACATTACGTTTGGTACACAACTGATGAGAAGAATGCATATGAATTTAAACAAAGCGTGGTCCCTAAATAATTTCAAATCTATTCAAGTGAATCTTCACACCTGCTTGGGCGAAAAAAAAGGTGAATCTTGACATCTCTCAGCAAGCCAGTGTGCCCTTGTTCTGCTAAAAAGCATCTGCTCTTATGACAATACCCCAGAACCAGAATGCAGTAGAAGCCCCGTGAAAAGTTAAAAACCACTTTCTGGATCTTTTCCTTTTTTATTTCCCTAGAGAGTTGACGGAGTAGATCCCCCTATATAGTTAAAATAATAGTTTTAATTGGAACCTTTTCATCACAGTGGACTGCAGTTTATATTAAAAATTGAATTGCTCTTCTGGGTACCAGAAAATCAAAACCGCATCAGTTTTAATGGTGTAAGTGCCATTAATTGCTGTAGAAGTGCCTTTTCACTTTAACTCACGGGAATCGGCAAGTTTCAGCGGTTCAGCTGACAAGTTACAAAAACATTTACTGCAACTTCCAAAATAACACCCGTTTCCGCGTGAGTACAGAAGTATTAGAGGAGAGGTATTAAAAAAAATCACAAGTACTAACGAGTGCTGGACAAACAAGCTAAATGAAAAGAGGTGTTAGTGTTACTGTCATCCTACTCACTCAGTTAACTTAAAATCGATGAAACAAAGTTATAAAGGTAAGTTCATTTAAATAGATAAATGCAAGGTACACAGCCAGACATCAGATGTTTGTCTAGACACCAGACGGTCATTCCTTCCAAATGGAATACTAACAGATGGGAGGACAGCCTAAATTTCTTGCAGGAGCAACTCCATCCCAAGTCGAACAAACGCTCACCACATACACATATATGCACAAGCACATCAAAGAAACAAAGGCACCTAAGCAAGACTTGAGGACACTACAAGAGTATGTGGTTTGACACATTCACACATCCAGGAGAGGTATGATTGGAATGTAAATCTTGTTAAAGGTATGACAAAGGCGAATGCGTTTGGTGGCATGGGGTCTAAAATCTCATTTGATTAACGAGAACATTATAAGAAAGCTAAGCATACAACAAAATAATATCTCCATTTGCAATTTTGCATATTTATTCATGTTGATTCTGTTTATCCATTCAGTTTTGACAATCAGACATTATACACAAACAAGGTTTGCTATATCATCTGGGCAGGGATCTCTCGTCAGTTTGTGGGCTTAACAAAATTGTAAATCTTCTGAGAGAAATATCAATGGAACAGTAACTTGGAGAGAAAAACGGGGATGTGGCAGAAGAAACAGATTTAACTGACCAACGACACGAATCAAATCCAAAAATCAGCGATGATCTCCACCACCATCAAGAGTCAGACTGGCCAGACCCCTGGAAAGCAAATCTGTTAATTTAACTGCATTATTTATTCTACAGAGAAATACAAAAAAGTTACCACCAAACAAACAAAATATAAGACAAAAAGTTAACTGTACTTTGTCACGAACTAGCAGGTATCTCAACATCAAGAATACCAGACCAAAATGTATGTATGCAGGTAGGTGAAAAAGATTACCAAATCAGGTAAATAGGGAGCTTCCCTAGACAACACCACCTATTCCTGCCACATGGAGAAATCACAAGGCCAATCAGGACTGCCTATCGGATAGGAAACCCATTGTATTGGCCATTTTCTCATCATATAGTCCACGTTAGCCCAATAGCCAACCTAATATTGGAGTTGTTCCCATTTCTCAATCAATCATAGCCTTCCAAGCTTTTGAGTTTTTTTAGTAAATAAAAATTGGCCATCAAAGAGGCCTTATGAGCTGTCAATGACCTTATTTCTTTTTCATTTGGAAAGCTAGTCTCTTGGGTTTTGACTGCAAAGGGGGCTTGCGACTTCTGTTCAAGAGGCTCTGTTGAGGTCTAGGAGCTTATGGGAGTTGTAATGTTGTTAAGTGGTGGCTGATCCCTGTTCAAGGTGCTATCCTTGGGGGATCTGTTGTACTCTATCTGTTTTTTAATAAAATTACTTCATCTTTTCTCAAAAGAATTCTGGACTGAAATCTTATCCATGAATAAGTGGTTAAGAGAAGAATACAGGGACTCCTTTTAAGTTACTATGTGGAAAATAACTGAGTTGTTCAGGGGAACTCACTTGAAAACCAGATTAGAAAACCCACTCCCTACACACGTACACATGAAACAAATATATGTATAGGTGTACCACTTTAAGGTACTGTTTCATGGTAAACTCCCCCACTAGTGGAATGACTCTCCAATATATGTATAGGTGGCTGGTGAAAGTCTCTTCTAAGATACAATACCCAAAGAATTAGTTCAATGAATTCAGAGGCTATAATCCTAAGATCCATGGTAAATTGGATATCCGAAAACATGTTAAAAGTAATATAGGATTCCCCAAGGTACGGACATCCATTAAATGGACAGACCCCTGAAATTAACAATTGTAAAACAGTACTGTTTTACCGTAAACTCCCCCACTAGTGGAATGATTCTCCAATATATGTATAGGTGACTGGTGAAAGTCTCTCCCTAAGATACAATGCCCAAAGAATTAGTTAAATGGATTCAGAGGTTGTAATCCTAAGATACATGGTAAATTGGATATCCAAAAACATGTAAGAAGTAATATAAGGCTTCCCAAGGTACAAACAGCCATTGGATGGCCAGACCCCTGGAAATTAACAATTGTAAAATTTAACTGTATTATTGTCCTACAAAAAAATTACACTACTACCATCAAGCATTAAGTAAACAAAATATGACCCCCCCCCCGAAAAAAAAAAGGTTTTCACTCTGTCATTTACAAGTGGGTCTCAACATCAAGAATTTCAGACAAAAATATCATTATCATTGTACACAGAAATCAGGACTGCACGCATGGAATGCATGCATGTATGTGGAAAAAGATGGAGCTATCCTACACGACTGCACCTAATGTCTACCATGCGGAGAAATCATGGGGCCAAGCAGGACATCTATCAGATATGGGAACCACTTATTGGCCACTTGTCAAATAACAGTCCACAATACCCCTGTGCCTAACCTTGTATTGGAGTTATTCCCAGTCAATTGTAGATATGCAAGCTTTTAATTTTTAATATAAAAGTTTCTCATAAAAAAGGCCTTATACTGAGCACTTGGAAGAGAATTATGGGTTGAAACCTTTTCCATTAGTAGGGGGTAGAAATAGGAATACAGGGACCTCTTTTGAGCCTCGAACTAAGTTACCAGCTCAAAGATCCTGAGTCAATCAGGAAAGCTCACTAAATGATCCAATAGCAATCACATTCCCTATATGCAGAGACATACACACACAATTGATTCTTACAACTGTTCAAATGAATACAATAGATATGATATCCATGAACATCCAATTGGACTTGATTATTGACCAGGATCCCACCAAAACCCTCTCTACCAATTCTCAAGTTCAATCAAATTTGAGGATGCTAGATTGCTGATTTTTTGTCAGTACTGCATTTGGTAAGAGTCCAAATGCAGAATAAGCAAATTTGCACTCCAGTTCAGTTTTTCATGTGTTTGGTAAGAATGCATTTTTGTACTAAAAAAAGTAAATTTATTTTTTCAACCATATTTGGATTCAAGATGGGAGCAAATTGTTTTTTAATCAACAACAGAAAATTTTATTAAATAGAACTCATCAAGGCGTACAGAGATATATAATGCGTACAATCATTTAGAGATACAGGCTCTTATCTCTACCCTAGTTCCATTTTATTAGTTATGCCCAAAATATTTGATCTCTCCCCATCAGCCATCCTGTTGGCTGCCCCTTGCCCATTGGTTCCTCACTTTCATCTCTCTAGTTTTCCATCTAAACTTTTTAACTTCATTCTTGTAGGCCCATAAAGTATCCTCTCCATTCTGCATCCACCCTGTTTACCAGTTTTGAATCTCCTTCATTCACCAACTTGTCAATGTTCAGCTTGTTAGCTCACACCCTCCATTACCGCCATAGTTTCTACTCTTAATCTTCACCAATTGGACCAGAATAGAATCCAACAATGTATCCCTCTTCATTTCTAAAAATGCCACCCACTGCTGAGGATCCTGGATTCCACCTTCTTATAATATAACATCATGTCATTATCCACTGTAAAGACTGAGAAGATCTCCACATATTTGGTCCAATGAGCCACCCTAATAAAATTGCATTCAATTATTGCCTCCTTGTTTCTTTCTTTCCATTCAAACATTTGTGAATTTTTTTTCCTCACATATGGTCCAAATAATTGCAGCCCTAGTGCATCTCCACATTTTTTTGTATATAAAATAAATTTTTTATTAAAAGAAAAACTAGTCACACAAGAATAGAAATACAATCTTATAACCACCAAAGAGAACAAAAAGTTCCTAAAACTCAAACCAATCTCGGCCCCAACAGACCAACTTCCAATACTCAAAGAGCAACAACACCCCGGACTCAAAGATGGCTACAACAAAAAACAAACTTCAAACCTGTTCCACTTATAACCACCTAACTGGTGCATCACCACATTATCCATCCCCTCTTCTTCTTCCAAGCAAACATTGCAGGAGAAAACAGGCCTTGCATGTTGTTTGGAGTATTCCATCTGTCACCCAAAGAGAGAAAAACCAAACCCAAATGCAAGAAACAAATGGACAGAAGATTATCAAGTGATAGCAGGACCACCTTAAATCTCTTTTACAAGAAAAAAGTTGCACCAATGATGAGGGTTGGATCAAAAAATTAAAGGAAGCACAACAGAAGATACCAAAAGGAGAAGGAATCCAAATACAACAATTAGACTTTAATGGGTCCAAGAAAACACCTTCAAGGATTTATAGAAGTGCAAACACACAAGGAACTCCACAATCCCTTAAACCTCTTCTAAAATCCAGTAGAAGATCAAGACTGTAATCAGTCTTGAATCCTAATAGGTTTTAGGTTTACAAAACAGAAGAAAAGTGAGAGAAAGGAGAGAGAATAGAAGAGAAACAGGAGAACACAAGTGGTTGAAAGGAGGGACAGATTCAAAACTAATCTGCTGCCGCCACTCTCTTAATATTTATAGGTTATGTTTAGTACATAA